CCCCCCCCAAGAATTTTGCAGTTTTCTCCAAAGGGAGGGGGAGAGGGAAGGGGAAGGTGGGAATTCAGATTTAATGTTGGAGTATGGGTTGATTAAAAAGTTGCCTAAAATAGTAAAAAGATGTTGCTGTCTTCCAAAGTGTCCCTCCCCCCAATTCCTGCAGTAAGCAATATCAAATCCCTGCCTTTCCCCAAACTTGACTCTGATGACAGTAATCAGAAGACAGCCAAGCTAGCGACATCTTTTCATCTTTTAGAAAATCTGATTGTCACACAAAAAAGTTGCACATGCAGTGAGATTACTTTGTCACAGAGTATAGGCTTAGCTCTTGATGTGGTTGTTTCAGCAGCACAGAATATTATTGTTGCATTCTAGGATAGAAACCATGGAAGTCCAAGAACCTTTTGCTATACCAGTCTATAGATTCTTAAAATGACAGCCTATCAAAGACAGTATTTAGAGCCAGAAAGGAGCCTGGTTGTATTGGTGGGATCTCTCAGATACCAAAACAAGCCTGCTATTAGTTGGTAGAAAGCTGAGCCTCGGCCTGCTTATAGCAAGAGTAAGGTCCCAGCAGTAGCATTCTTGGTAAATTACTGTCTCTGTGTCAAGTGCTTCCATTGTCAGGAGAGCTCACTGCTGCTTGTAACTTCCATGGACCTTGGCCAGATAAACTCTATAGAGTACAGAACACTCTGGTGTTACCTTCTAGGAATGAGCTTTCATCCTAACCCCTCCTGGTTCATTGTTGGGCTGTGGTCAGCAGGATACTCCTTCATGACTTATTGTATACTTTAGAGAAATTAAAAGCACTCTGGGAAAGATTGGGGATCCTCAGCCACTCCCCACCCGCCACTCCCCCTTAAAGCTATAGTAACCATTTAGATGAACTAATCACAGAGCTCTTTTTCAAACCAGAGCACTCATCATTCTTTGACCGACCTGATTGTGAAGTTTCTTTTGGATCCATTCATTTTAGGGTGGGAAGGGCCCTGTTTCTTGCTGGCTTGGGGACCTGCTGCCTTCAAGGGGCAGATAGAAACAGAACTGGAGTTTGGTGGTGTTCTGAGGAAATCATGACCCTTATCCCTAGAGAGCAAAGCCTGGTTTCCATCCTGGCCCTCTTTCTTAGTTTGTCTTTGAAACTCACAGTGAGAACCTTTCCTAGTGAGAGAGACTCTTCCCTCAGAGATAGTGACTTGAGGCCAGGGGTGGTGGTGGTATAGTCAATTGGGCTATTATTACACACCCTTCACTTAGGAACTCCCAGGGAAATATTCCTGGAATTTGGTTCTTGTTGGCTATTTTAGGCCCAATGTTTGGGTCTTCTTCAGATTTTGATTTCATGTTACTGTTTATATAAACTAATCTTAATAGTTGAGAAATCCATGGGATCATCTTAAGAGAACAATCTTATAATATGCCTTTATTCTGAGTCCAGTATAAAACTACCTGACCTAGCTCTAGCCAGTGTCTCTTCCCACTGTCCCCCAACTGCTCAGGGACCTTGCTCTGTTTACAGGGTAGGCTTATTCCACCAGTAGATTTTCTTTCTCCAGGTGTGAATACACTCTTCTTACATAGTCATTTCAGCGCAGTATTTCTGGCTTTTCCTTTACACTTTCGAGTTCTCAATTTACTAATTGTGGCCAATAAGCATAAGATTAGTGCCAGTTTTCTTTTAACTTGTATTTCAAACAATATTTGACATATAGAATCTCTTAGCATTAGGTGTTTGATCAAATCTCTTGATCATTCTTTTGTTGCCATTGCTTTAATACTTTAAAAGATCATCTTCTCCATTTCTAGATTTTAAAAATGAATTTATTTTTATCAAAGTAATACAAGAACATTTCAGTGAAATCAAGTAGCATTTAAAAGGCTTATATTGAATCCCTAGCCAGGTGGCTCAGTTGGTTGGAGTGACTACCTGCACACCAGAAGGTTTCTGATTCCATTCCTGGTAAAGGTGTGTTTGGGAGGCAACCAATCAATGTTTCTCTCTCTCTGTCCCTCCCTCCCCCCTCTTCTCTCCCTTTCGCTCTCCCTTTCCTTTACTCTCTCTCAAATACAAATGAAAACATACCCTTTGGTGAGGATTGAAAAAAAAAAGGCTTATATTGAAAAACCGTGGCTCCTTGCCTCAACTGTCTCCAACTCCGGTTTTGCTTTCTGTTAGCCAGGCACTTTAAGCTGTTTCTGCTGGAATTTCTCTCTCTCTTTCTTTTTTTTAAATGTTTGTTGATTTCAGAGAGGAGGTGAGAGGGAGAGATAGATGGAAACATCAATGATGAGAGGGTCATCAATTGGCTGCCCTCTGCATGCCCCCTACTCGGGATCAAGCCCGCAACCCAGTCACGTGCCCTGACCAGGAATTGACCCGAGATCTCCTGGATCATAGATCGATGCACAACCACTGACCCACACCAGCTGGGCAGGATTTATCTATTTCTAAGTAAAATGCTTATATTGTTTTTTCTAAATTTATCCATTTTAGACAGTTTTATACTTCCTTTTATAGTTGCTGAGGATTTAGCTCTTATAGTAGCTCCTCCTCCACCTTATTCCCAGATCCTCCATCACATTTATATCCCAAATTTTGGTAAGTTAATGTTATTTATTCACAGTATTATGAGAGGATAAATATGTATTGCCAAATTCAGATAGTATATGTGATTATTTTCCCCCCCAGCTTTTTCTTTCTCATAAATTGCCCTGTTTAAAAAGTTGGCATAGTTTCTTTGTATCCATTTCTGATTTTGTTCAAATGCTCCAAAAGACCTATCAAAGACTTAATGGTAATTTTATTTTCCCATTCAAACATATTGGTTACCCTGTCAGGTTTTGAGTCCTCGAATATCCAAAAATGTCTTAATTTTACCATCATGTATGAATTAATAGCTTGGCTGTATTTAAATTTCTTAGTTGAAGATCATTTCCCTTTAAGAATTTTCAAGACATTGCTTCTTTAAAAAAGTTTTTCAAAAATTGAAGTATAAGCTCCACGGATCTAGTATTCCATATTCCTTTGCCATTCTAAATTGTTCTTCCCACCTTGCCCCCAAGCTGTTGGGATTTTTCCCCTTTATTTCTGGATATTTGTATTTTACCAATGATGGGCCGTGTTCATTCATTGTGTTAGGCGCTCCTTGATCCTTTCAATCTAAGGCTCAGGCTCAGTTTAAAAATCTGGGATTTTTTTTTTGGTAGTGGTGGAGGGATGTCTTTGATAATTTTCTGTTCATTTTCTGGAATTTCCAAAACCGGATGCTGTATCTCCTTGTCTGTTTTCCTAATTTGCTATCTTTTTCTATTTCCTAGCTCTTTGTTTTACTTTCTGGGATATACCCTTGACTATCTTATAACCTTTAAAAATATCTCACAACCTTTTAAATAAAAATTTTACTTTATTATATTTTAAATTTCCAAGTGCTTTGTTGTTGGAGGCTTAGCTTTCTATTCCATGTTTAAGAGTGAGGCACTAAAATAAAAATAATCAAAAGGGGAGAATATGTGAAGTTTAATGATCAGCAAGCACAGCCCAACACACATATTCCCCCCTTTTGATTGTCGACAGCAGATTCCCCATGCCCCCATAAAAAAGGAAATAAAGAAAATTTTGTTGAAACACTTTTCCTGGTTCTTGGGAGCTGGGCCAAGCTGCAAAACAGCTTGTGACCTTGTTCCCATGGTAGTTTGGTCCTTTGGCCTTCATGCCTTGGGCCTGAGTCATTATCAGAAGTGATGGGAGGAGGTAATCATGGGATTTTGTCTGCCAGTCAGACTGGGGTTAGTAGGTTGGGTGGCAGGGAGCAGGCTGCCTATAGCCAGTGCCGTCCACATTCCAGTCCTTAAAGGGCACAGCCTGGTGTGGCTAATAGTCCTTCAGCCCTGGCTCTGTAGGACAGCAGCTGTAGCGGGGAATCGAAGCACAACATGGGGCAAAGGTGGAATACCCTCAAAGCTCTGGGTCTCTGAGCTGGCCGTGTGTGGGAACAGCGCTCGCAGTCTGCCCAGCCCAGTGATAGAAGTGAGGATAGAGACATTTTTGGGAGAGGCAGCTCCAGACTTTGGGGTATTTGAGATGAACGATCCCTTCACAGCCTAGGAAAGGGATAATGGAGCCCTGGGGGGTAATTATGGCAGCCAACTTGGGCTTCAGTCCTGTGGGCAGTCTCAGAACTTCGACTCAAGCCCAGGGGATTTGGGTATGGAAGGGCATGTGGCTCTTGTGGTGCTTTCTCATTCTGCAAGGTGGGCTGAGGGCAGAGGACAGCCACACTTTCATAAATGTCTTCCCAGCGTTTCAGCTGGAGCTTCCCTACTCTTCATTCCTCTTCAGGATGTCTTGCCAGCCACTTGGCCCTTTCTCCCAGGCAGGCTGCTCTGACTGGGGCTTTGATTAGTGTCAGAAATGGCAAGCCCCTATACTGGGCCATTTCAGTGACATGTCTTCTGGGACCCACATCTTCTTGTCTTGATCCTCTTGTTTCTCCACCACCAGGCCACACCTCCTAATTTCTCAGTGTCACAAGTGCCCAACACTCCCAGCTGTCCCCAGGCTTATTCTGAACTGCAGATGCTGTCTCCCAGTGAGCGGCAGTGTGTGGAGACAGTGGTCAACATGGGCTACTCATATGAGTGTGTCCTGAGAGCCATGAAGAAGAAAGGAGAGAATATTGAGCAGGTGAGCATTTGATCGTCAGGGGTGGGGAAGGTTGTGGGGGTGCGTGGTCAACCATAGAGCGGTCCTAGACCTCTGGAGCTGAAGTAGTGTCCTGCCTCTATCCTAGAGCCCCTCAGACTTACAGCACCAGTGTCTGTTCCTGTGAGTTTGGGGGGACACTAAGAGTACTTTGTTGGGGGAAACCAGCAGCCTCAGCAGCAGTGTCTCTGCTTTGGGGCTGCTCTGGAACCTAGGCTGAAGGAAAGCCTTGAGAGTATTGGAGTAGTTGGACTGTTACCCAACTAACTCCCTTCTCTGCTCCTCCTGAGTGCACACGCTAGGGTTGAGGTGGTCATCTTTCTTCCAGAGATGTTTATACTGTCATAACTGCCCAGGGAGTTCCAAAATAGGGTACTGGAGTCCTAAACCTTAGGTGCATTTTCTGACTTGAGCTATTTCTTAGAGGAATATCCTGCCCAAGCTATGGAGTTAATGTTCTGGGAGATATGAGTCAGCTGCAACAGGAACTCCTTTGAAAAATGATTACTCATGTTTAGAAGGGTGTGCCTGTCTGTCCAGCAGATAGTCACTGAGGTCTTGCTGTGTTGGATACAGATTAAGTCACAAAATCAAGTCCTGCCCAGGATCTAATAGGGTGGGGAGCACTTGCTGGCTTAAGACTCTTGGGAAACAGGAGTGGCAGTAGGTGCTTAGACCTCGTTTTTTTCCGTAGATTCTCGACTATCTCTTTGTACACGGACAGCTCTGTGAGAAGGGCTTCGACCCTCTTTTAGTGGAAGAGGCTCTGGAAATGCACCAGTGTTCAGAGGAAAAGGTAGGAACCTTCATGCCCTCTGGAAAGGAGGAACAAAGTAGTCCTCTGGGGTGCCCTCCTGGCCCACAATCCCCTTTCCCTACCAGTGACTGCAAGCAGAGGAAGTTGAAGCACAGAATCTCCAAAATGTCCAGATAGGTGTTTGGCTACTTTGGGTGTGTTTGGCTCAGATGAAACATTGAGTTGAAGACTACCAAGAATCCCAGAGAAGGGAAGGGGGAAAGTGACCTGGGCAAAAAGCATACTTTTGGATGACTGGGAAGATTGTTAGTCACTTTGCCTAGCTTGCTGCCTGGAGAGCAGCTGTTTCTGGGTTGAGTATCTTACCTTCGTGGAAGTGTGGATGTGGGTGGAACGAAGGTTAGCAAGAGTTGGGGCTGTAGCATCAGCCTATCCCCCAGCTTTCTTCACAGCCCTCCTCTGCTTGCTAGGGGACCTCAGAGAGCCTCAGAAGGCTCTGGTAAAGAATGCAGACTCCCCCAAGCAGCCCCCTACACACACATTTCTCCACTGAGCCATTTGGCCGGACCCTTCTTTAATCTGTACTGTTCTGTCTCTTAGATGATGGAGTTTCTTCAGTTAATGAGCAAATTTAAGGAAATGGGCTTTGAACTGAAAGACATTAAGGAAGTTCTGCTATTACACAACAATGACCAGGACAATGCTTTGGAAGACCTCATGGCTCGGGCTGGAGCCAGCTGAGACCAGGCCCTGCCTAAACCCTGCCACGGAACCACCCCTGCAGGAGGCCCTGAGGAGCCCACCTGTGGGGAAGGAGAAGGGGCACACGTCCAGATTTTCTTTTGGGGGTGGAAGGTCAGGTGTGGAGACTACTTGCCAGTCTCTATGAGCTTAGGCCCTGAGCTGGGGAGAAAGTGGGAAAGATTTGGGCATGTGAATGCCCTTAGAACTGTTTTGGCTCCTTCCATATTAAATGTATTTGTATTTTTGAGAAGTGTCCTTCCCACCTTGGCTCTCCAGAGATGTCTCTGGTTTTTCTGGGGGTCTGTTTGTCCTCAGCTGAAACCTGGCCTGGCTGCCAAAGGAGTCGTGGAGAAAGGGTGGGAGGGCCAGACTCAGTGCTGCTCTGGGGCTAGCTGCTTCCCTCCTCTGCACTGGTAGACTGAACTCTAATCCAGGTTGAGTGCAATTGAAAGGTTCTTCCAGGGTTTATTTTTCCCCCTTTTAACAAAGTCTCTTAGTGTTACACTGGTTCTGCAATGTCACTGAGGTGCAAAGAATGCCCTTTTCTCCATGGGGTCCTGAGTTTGCCTCTTCTGCCAGGCAGTTACCATGCTTCCCTGACCCAGCCTATTTCTTTTGGTTTGGTTTGGACCACAATCCTCTGCTACCAGGATTTTAGAGCCTCTTGCTCTAGGAAAGTTGTCACATTAAGAAATCATTGGCCCCTTCCCAGCACATTGAGTTGGGGAGAAACAGACCATGATTTAGTTGTCCAGCACTAACTCCACCTCAGTTCTCTTTGGAGAACAGCCTCTCCCACCAGCCCTCTGCTCTAGGATGATACAATAACACCTAGTCATAGAAATCAGTCTTTTTGGTTTGTTTTATATTATGCTGTACATCATTAAAGATCTAAATACAAAGGATATACAGTCTTGAATCTAAAGTAATTTGCTAACTATTTTGATTCTTCAGAGAAAACTACTAATAAAAATCTAAAAGGTATGTCCTGTTATCATAATTTCTTTATCGCCAAGGGCTGTTTTACCGGGGCAGGTGTATGTGTGTGAAGGGATTTCCTGCTTAGATTTGCTGGGAATGAAGGAGGACCTAACCATTTTCTGTCATTTCAATACTTTCTTCCCACTCTAGGCCTGTGGGACCCAGGAGCTGGCCTTCCAGTTTGCCCTGGTTTTGGTTCACAAAGGCAGGCCCAGAGGAAGGCCTGTTTAAACCTGATGTAGCTTGGTCTCTAGGCCAAGGACATATGTCTTCCTGTGAGACTGGAGGTGACAGGCTGGGCCTTCAAGGTAATTACCCACAAATGAGGAAGAAGTCCCTCTTCCTGTGATCCCAGGCGTTGATGTACTCTGCCACAGGCAGGACTGGATTCAGACTGCTTCACCAGCTCTCCCTCAGTGCTGTTGTAGCTGACAGAACTAGATTTATCCTTAAAGTTTCTTGTCCTTATACTTAATACTGTCCCATAGTCCTCTTGTGCTTTTGGCTGGAGGTGGGTTTAATTCATTCAGTGATCACTTGTGAGAGTGCAGAATCTTTGGGCCAGGAAGCACCAAGGTGGAAAGAGGCTGCCCTCTTGTGGTCAGATCAGGTGTGGCCAGGGGTTGACAAAAGTTAGCAAGGAGTAGCAGGGCTACAGTCTCAGAAAGCAGTTAGTCTCTCTTCTGGCCTTTAAAATTAAGCCCTTCTTTTAAAACTTTTAAAAGTTATTCTTTACCTGTAGGAAATTAAAGTTTCACAGCATAATGAGTGTCAGGGCCAAGGCTGTGACACCAAATCTCAATTTGACCCAGGGTGGCCTTGGTTAATAATGGGCCACCTGGAGGCCACTTTGTATTTCTTGTCTTAAGCTTCTTCCTGATAAAAAGATAGCAAGCAGAACTCAAGTGAAGATATGTGTGTGTGTGTGTAAAAATTCTGCTTCAGAGTCTCAGACTGTTGACTAGAACACCCAGTGCCAAGCTGGCTCTTTTGAGAGGAGTGGACCAGGGTGATCCTAAATGAAGGTGAGGCTAGGAGATGGACTCGCCTGAGAACCGTCAGCTCTTCACTATTCCATGAGTGGGTATGGTGGGTAAGGATTCTCAGGAGCCTGGAGCTGCCAACAGGTATATGAGGGCTATTGGGGCTTGTAAAATGTTGAGATGGAAAAGCAAAAGGCAGAGATGGAAAAAAGAATTGGACTGCAGGAAGGGAGAACTGAAAGCATAAAGCCTATCTCACATCAGTTGCTATTAAAGAAAGACGTAGCAAGTCAAGGTTTATTCATTTTACATTTCAAAAGCTAACCTAAAGCCCCAAATAATGGGGCAGAGCTCACCCTGCCCCTGCCCCACTAGCACCAGTGTTTTTATTTTTTGGCCGAGTCCTCATGACAGGCATAAAATTCACCTGATAAAGCTCGTGGGCTCAGCTCATGGGCTCGTTACCTTTACCAGCTTGTGACTACTGACCTCTAGGTTACCACCAATTACCCATACCGTTAATTTCAAATTCAGAAACATCTACAGGGTTATTATTAGACCCAAGTGTGTTTCCACAGACAAGGGGTAAGACAAATTCTCTCTCAGTCCCAAAGAAAACGGAGGAGCACATTAAGATGCTCCTGTGCTTGGAATTGATGGATAGAGAGGCTTGTCCCTGAGAGGAGCTCGGCCCAGCCAAGGCCATGTGTGACTGTGGAGAGGCTAGCATGGACAGGACCAGGGAGTGGGTTCTGATATCTGTAGGGATGACCTGGCAGAGGCCCTCCATCCCCTCAGAACCTAGCACAGGCTCTTGAGCTGCCCCTCCCACCCATACTGGATCTTGCTCTAAGATACCACTGTCCTTTCAGGGGCCTCAGACAGCCTATGGCAGGCCAGGTATAGCTGCAGCTGGTTCCTCAGACTCTGGATGCACTTGGACTTCAGAACCATGATTTCATCCAACTGGGTGACAAAATCTTCAAAATCCTGGTACAAGAAACAAAGGACAAATAGTGCTGTTGCTGGCCCTCTCCCAGATCTGCTTTTCTCTTGCAGGAAGATGTTAGAGCCCAAGCCCCTCCTGCTGGGAAAACCTGCAGGACAGTCACTATGGCACAGGGTGGGGCCCACTTCTCTGCATTTGAGACACTTTATATGTAGAGGTATTTTTCAGGGTAGGGAGTATTTTCGTAGAAGTACCTCTAGTCTGCAAGTGGTTCATTGTTACTGACACAAGGAGGGGTCCCAGTAAGCCACTAGGAAGGCAGAATGGTGAAGGATAGAAGCCGGAAGCATTTTAACCTGGGAATGGGGAGTGTAGCACCATCTCCCACCTGTTATTGCACTCCCTCAAGCTATCCCAGAGGAGTGGAAAGAGGAGACCTAAGGTCCCAACAGTGGTTAGTGTGTGACAGCAAACCCTTACCCCACACCTAACCACAGCAAACAAAGCTGACCATCAAACTAGCTACAAGCTAATTCCCAACAGCCCCTGAGTGTCCAGCCAAGGCCACTTACATTAGGAGCCAGCTGGCTCATCAGGGTCTCTTCCTTGAAGCCCAACTCAGCCATTTCATCCAGCTGTTCCTGGTGTGCTCGGATGACCACCTGCCTGGGAATACCAGAGGGGATGCTGTGAGCCTTTGGGCCTCCCATATCTCTTTTTGGAGTTGAGCACCATTTCCAAGTCAGGAGCTAGCTCTGCCCAAAGTGGTCAAGGCTTTTTGACCAGGACCAGCTAACCCGACCTCCTCCCTTCTCCCCCCTCCCCTGTTCTCGGAACTAGGAAATAGCAGTGAGATACTGGGAGAAACAGGCTTCTGGAGCTGTCCCCTACCTCCCCAGGTACACTAAGGGACAGGCCTAGGTGCCGCTGCTACAGAGGAGCTGCCTACAGCTTTTCTGCAGAAAGGCTCAAGGCTGTGCTTCTGCAGTTTGCACACTTGGCACAAGGTAGAGCCTGTTGCCTAGCCTGCCGTCACTTCTACTTAAGGTATTCTGGCACCAAAGCAAAGGTGTTTGAGCTAGAAGCCAGAGGATCTGCCTTTTGTCAGACCCTACTGATGGGTATAGACCACAGAGACAAGATTGTCTGCCTGGGAGAGGTGTGCCCCTCACCTGTACATCCCTGCATGCCCTTTTCTTTGTCTACGGCCCTGGCCTGAGCACCAGTGAGCAGCAGACAGACAGCTAGCCTGGTATCAGGAGCCCCAGCAAAGGGGGCTGTAGCCTCATAAAGGAAGTATCTGTTCCCACAGGTTCACCCAGCCCTCCAGCTCCTAGGGGCCCTGCTAGATCTCTTTCTTTCACATCCTCTAAGGCTGCTGTCTCATTTCTGCTGCACCATCCACACACAGCATCCTTTGGGGAAAGCAGCCTCCCCCCCCATTTTTTACCTTCCCTGTCTTGGAAGGTAACCTAACCTGTCTTAGCTCTGGGGGCACAAGGCCACAGCTGTTGGGTCCTCGGGCAGCACTTCTAGGAACACAGACCAAACAGAATGAAGAGGATTCTGATCTCACCAGAGTTCATAGGCCTACTTACGGGGACAGATCCTTCCTTATCGCTCACATCTCTGCTTTCCCAGGCAGAGGGCCCACCCACCCTGGCAGGCCTGCTCCAATTCATTTTATTCCTGCTATTCATGTCAGATGCATCTAGGCAGACTCCCTTGAGAAGCTGGACAAAGCCTTTCTCTAGTCGTACTACAGCTGACACAGCTAACCACAGCCATTCCCAGAACAGGCAAAATGTTAAATTAAGCTGGGGTTGGAGAGGGGTGCCAAAGGGGCTCATGTCTCAGGGGGAATGTCCAACTTACTGTGCACGTCCCAGGGTGGGCTGGTGCAATGCCCCAGCAGTCTTGGGAGAGCAGCTGGGAACCAGCGGAGAGCCTGGCCTTGCTAAGTGCCTTTGGATTGGCCTATGTTTGAGCCATTCCATGTCCTCACTGTAGCAGGGCAACTTGATGGAGTCTATGGACAAATCCAGCTCCTGCCAACTGAGCCCTGTCAGATGCTTTCTCTCCTGAGCCCAGGGCTGGTCAGCCATATCACTGCTTCCTGTTCGTTGGGTGGGTGTAGGCTCACACTGGGGTCCTCCAGTGTGTATGGTGGGTAAGGGCTTTCCCGGGAAACCCTGGGAGCTGTTCAGTTCTGTCTCCTCAGCATCGGCATCACACTGCTCACTAGCCACGTGCTCCTGGGAGAAAAGTGTAGTCTCTCTGCTCTGGTTGACTTCTCCCAGATCAATCTCCCTGTTGGGCAGCTTGTCAGATGGGTGCTGACAGATGGGTGATGGGGACAGAGCTGGAAGATCAGCACCAGGCTTATTGTCAGGGGGAGATGATGAGAGCCACAGGTGCCCACTTGCCAAAGACACTGGCAGGACTACCTCTTGATCACCAGGTGACACTGTGTGGCCCATAGCTGGCCCCCCTGTGCCCGCTAGACTGTGTGTAGCCCCATCCTGGGCTGGCTGGTTTAAGGAAGGAAGGCCCTCATCATCAGGGTTCTCCAGGAGGGACACAGTGAGGGGGGCCATCAGTTCAGAAGCATGTTCAGAACACATGCCTAATTCCTCTCTAGAGTCTTCTCCTTGGAAAGGGTTACTGTTTTTCATTATTCTGGTTGCCACATTTGGGCTGCCTTCACTGGGTTCTCTCAGAGATGTGCTGACTGTGTCTCTTTGGTCTGGGGATCCAGCAACTGCAATGAGGGATAGTGAGGAAGTGAAACCATCTTCCTTCAGGGATGGCGAGCTGCCCTCAGCCTGCCCTGGAACTTCACTTCTGAAGGCATCCTGTTTGAGATCAGAGGTTGAGCTGCTGCCTCTTTTCTGGTTATATACAAAGTCTACCTGTGAGTAGTAAGGCTTCTCTGCCAGTTTGTCTCTGGGAGAAGGCCCTGAGGAGGTAGAGTCCTCTTCTCTGCTCCAATCCAAGGGCACCTTACTTGGGCTGTGGCTGGGATCAACTGCTGTTCTTCTGTGGCTTGTGGGATCCCTGGAGTACATCCAGCTTCCAGTTAGATCCTTCTCATCACCATCTAACCCGGGGCTAAAAAACAGACTCTGCTGCCTTCCAGTCACCTGCTCCTCAGGACCCTGTTCCCTCTGATGAAGGAAGAATGAACCTTCGCTATTCTCCAGGGTGTTTCTGTGCTTTGTGGTCCTCTTACTGGAGACATGTGAGAAAGAATCTTCACTGAAATCACTGTCATCAAGGTCCTCAGCTTGGCCCCCATCATGACTCTCAGAATAAGAGTGTGAGGGAGGAGGAGTCTCATTCTGGAACTGCTCCTCTTGGGACCTGTGCTGGCATAAAAGCCTTTCCAGTGGTTGGTACTTTAACTTCTGTTGGAGGAGAGGTGGCTGCTGGAACTGCTGGTGGTAAAAGCGCAAATGTTCCTCCCTCTCCTTTTGATGTGGAGGTATGTTTGTCCAAGCTTCAGAGGCAGGCCTGGCAAGCGTGTCCCCCTTGCTGCCCTGACTGTACTCTGCTAAGTGGTGGATGCTGCCAAAGGAGAGATCAACTCGTGACACAAGCTGCTTCTGCACTGGCTGCACAGTCTGCACTTTCTTGCACTTGTTGGTCAGCTTACCATGCATCAGGTCTTGTCCTGGGCCAGGGGCCCTGCCTCCCCACCCAAAGGCAGTTTTGTTGCCGATTTGATTTTTCTCAGAGCACAATGAAGCTGACTCTTCTTCCCTTTTTTTGGCTAACTGTCCAGACCGCACAGTTCCTTTGACAGGGCTAGTCTGAGTGACCCACTCTTGAGGAGGACTCCCTCTGGAACCACCCTTTTTACCAGGGGCTTTAGGTGCAGAAGTAAAAGGGATGTTGGGTGGGTGGCTGGCCAGAGGATAGGCCTTCCCTCTTGTGGAGCCAGGTGCCACTGTAAGTGACTGCTGAAGCCCCAGCTTGACTTTTTTGGGAGAACACTTGTCCCCTGGCAGGGCCACAGGGGAGCTCTGAATTCGTTTTGGAGAAGAGTTTCCAGATGTCCGATTTCGACTGGCAGCTGAAGTGCAGCATTTGATGCCTTTCTTTAGTTCTTTGACCCTGTAAATGACCATTTTATGTTAAATGTGATTCTTCACGTTCTATAATTCCTTCCCTACAGCTTTCAGGGAAAACAAAACCAAAGCAAAGTATTACAAGGATTGGGAGTTGTTTTTTTTATCTGGAAAGAATATGAAAAAATGGGGAGATGCTATTTCAGCATGAGATTCCTCTTTCTACTTGAACAAAAAAGACCAATGTTGTCTCTGAGGATATAAGCATGCACCCAACATTCCATAATCAGAAGATTTTTGGAAATCACCACAGTCCCATGTGAGGGACAGGCCAGAAGAGCTGGTGTCAGAACTGCACTATGTCCAAGCAGGGCCCACTCCATACTTCCTGAAGATGGGCCAACTCAGGAGCTTCATGTCTTCCACTCACCCATTCATTATTCTACAAACAGAAAATAGAGCCCTCTTTTCCTGAAAACCACCTGCTTTCAGGCTTCTGAGAAATGAGTTCCCTCAAACCTGCTAGACATTTCAGGAAGCAAAAGCCCTCTGGAAATAAGCAGGCTTGTGCTAATACCATTAAGGGAAAAATGACCATTCCCAGGGTTTCTCAACCTTAGCACTAGTGGTATTTGGGGCCAGGTAATTCTTTGTTGTGGGGGATTGTGCCGTGCACTGTGGGATGTTTTACAGCACCATTGGCCTCTATCCACTTGATACCAGTAGTACTTCTCCCCAACCACAACAATCAAAAGTGTTTCCAGACATTGCCAAATGTCTCCAGGGAGGCAAAATTGCTCCCCAGATAGAGAAATAGAAAACCATGCCCTATTCCACAAGGGAGTTTTAGAGAACACAGAAAAAAATCAGAATTCTGCTAGGATTCAGTTGCCAAGATCGAAGTCTCTTACTCTATGATACTTAACACAAAAACACTGTAAAAAATTAGGAATTACATGGAGTGAAAATGTAACTCTCCAGTGGTTTGTTTGTAGATTCCACATTGAAATCCCCTAGGAGGGAGCAGTACTTCTGCCTGGGGGCTCCTGGAAAATGTCTTTTCTATTGTTTTGATTTTTTAAGAAGATTTTTAAAAACATTTTTAGGGAGAGAGAGGGAGAGAAAGAGCAAAATATTGGTGTGATAGTGAAAAATTGATTGGCTGCCTCCTGCACGCCCCCTACTGCAGGAAACTGCAACCTGGGCATGTGCCCTGACCAGGAATTAAACCAGCAGCCAGTGGTATTTGGGGCCAGGTAATTCTTTGTTGTGGGGGGGCTGCACCTTCTTGGTGCATGGGACAATGTTCAACCAACTGAGCCACACCGGCTGGGCCATTGTTTTGATTTTAATCCAATCCTCAATGGGGGCTAAATGACCCCTCTGGCCATTTCTGAAAACCAAGATAGTAAATCTGACACTGAAACTTGATTTAAATCTTCCTTTTATGTCTGAGAAGCAAGGCAGTCAGATAACACAGCTAAGCAAAGAAATGTAGCAAGACATAATTGTGTCCATGTATGGGCCTTTGCTTAGGTGCTGCAGTAGGGCACGCATACAAGGAATGGGCTGACAGGTGCCACAGCAAGTCTAGATGGTTCCAAATTACTTCCTGCTATTAAAATTTGAGCTATTTTAGTTTCATTAAGAGAGAAACACCAAAATTCCTCCAAGGAGTAATAGTAAATAATTCTAGAAACCTGAGTGCCAGAAGGGATCTTACAGGTAATTTGGTCATTGATGCTAAATTCTTCTAATGTACTCTGCCTGTTTCCTAAATCACTCTTATCACTGAGCTCTCTTCTGATACACCTGTTAGGGGTCTAGCTGGAACTTTATTTTTAGACTATTCAGCAACATTTTTCTAGTATGTGGAGAAATGTAAATTTTAAATGAGAGAAAATTTAAAAATAAGCAATAAAATCATCCTCATCCTGTATGTGCATAGATTATCACCTAAAATTAACTTAGGCCTCATTTAAGCACATAAAATAAATGGCTTTCATATTTATTTTCAATAATTTATCAGACTGCTTTGAATGGGAGATATTGTTTCTATTGTACTTTTTCTATTCTTTTGTGTGTGTTTTTTAAACCAAAATTATTTCAAATAATTTCTTAATTGTATTCAATACATCCCCTATGATAAGGGGTCATTTTCATCTTCCTTTGCTGAGCATTGAGAGGAATGTTTTGTTCTCTGCTCCTGATGAAGTTCAAGCAAATGATATGTCTAAGATTTGGGGACTGGGTGGGGTTATGAAACAAGATCGGTTTAGTTAATAACTGTTGAGGCAGGGTAATGAATACATGGAGGAAAAGAACTTCAAGCCATAGTGGTTTTTTGAAAACAATTTTGGATCATCATACATCTTCTATCTGATCTCAGTTTGGGAAGTAGCCACTTTCTTCTAGCAGTGCCAGTGTGCTGGCATTAGGAAAACCATGTAATAAAGGAAACCTCCTTCAGGAAACTTATTTGGGGGACCTACTAATATTACTATTGTTAAGGTTAACATATATTGAATTCTCACTATGTGCTGGGCATGGTGCTAAGCTCCTCATACATATTACCTCATTGTTCCACATAACTGTTATATGAGGTAGGTGCTATTACTATTTCCTTCTGGAAGGAAAGTGGGGCTCAGAGAAGTTGAAAACTTGTTCAAGGCCACTCAACTAGCTAATGGCAGAGGCAGGGTATTAGCCCAGACAGTCTGACTCCAGAGCCCACTCTTGTAACCACTCTGTAAACTCTCTCTCCTATCTAAATGAGGTAAGGTACAGAGAGGACCTCACACAAGCCCTGATACCCAGGAGGAGCCCCTCCTTTCACTCGTGAATATTTATTGTGTATCTACTAGGTAGCAAGTATTGTCTGGGCAGCAGATATATAGTGGAGAAAAAGATACAAAAGGTTCCTATTCTCATGGAACTTAAATGATAGCTCATCTTTCCTTTTCAATGAGTTTCATAAAATGCCATGGATACTAAAGATTCTTCAACAGTAATTAAAAAAATGGGTTTCCCTCAAATAGTTTGTTAACCTTGGAGACAACTTCTAGGAGACTAACAAGGAGGATGTAAGACAGGACCAGGCAGCAAAGTGGAGGAAAGGAGGTAATGAGAGCATCTCGCATCTCATCCACCGCAGGAAACGTGACCACAGTGTAAGGGGCACTAGCTCTGGCAACAACTCCCAATGAGCCCTTTTAAAGAGCCCTTTTCTGGGCCTCAGACTATTCTTCTATAACATGTCTGGGTTGGTTTCTTCTAAGTGCTTCTGCCTTGACAAGCAGTATGCATTCTATCCCTTACAATTAGGGCAGAGGCTAGTGGGAAGATTCCATTCCAGAGAAAGATTTCATCTCCCATTAGCCATTTAAAAGCTACCGAACATGGGAATGTATCACCTTCCTCCTGTCACATTCATACTTATAAAATGTCAGGGCCTCACAGGTCACATTTTTCAAATGACCAATTGCACAAAACTCTGGTGATAGGATCACTTCCCCAAGAACGGACTTGTGGAGCTCAAGGTCAGATCCCTGTGTGTGGCTGTAACACAGACACACACACATGACCTGCCACCTGAGAGGGGCTCACCGGTCAGCATAGCGCAAGGTATTCAGAGTGTGTTCGGTGGCCATGTGGCTTGGTGAGATATTGGCGATCATGCAGGTTTTGGCATTGCCGATGAAAGAGTCTTTCAGGACCTGTCCAAAACAGAAGGCAGGCCAATTAACAATGGGCATGTTGACTACTTATTGGATGCAGGACACTGGGCTACAGTTCCCCTTGTCTACAAAAAAGGAAATTCACAAAAGAAGAAACACAATAAATACAAAAAAGGTATTTCATCGCAAATCAAAGAAATGAAAACCATTATAAAAACTAATACTTTTTTCACCCATAAGATTAAGAAAGATTCAAGATACCCTGCCCTCTGAGGGCCTAGGGAAATGGGCTCTTATCCACTGCTAAATGGCCCATGTACTGTGTACCAAGCTTTTGGGAGAGCAGTTTGTCAATATGTATCGAAATGTAAAAAATGCACACACTATTGGTTTGGCAAATCTAGGAGTCTATACATGAAACAAACTAGGTAATTGTAAACTGAATACAATACAGTCATTCAAAATAATTATGTATCTATCTGTACTTAGGTACATGGAAAGACCTAAAACCATCTTAGAGTGAAAAAGATATGATTCTATAACTCTATAGGTGGATCTTCATATGGATCTAGGGCAGAGAGATGCTTGGAAGGATGTTCACCAAAATGTAGCAGTGGTTGTCACTGGGAGGTAGGATTTTCAGGTACCTTTCCCCATCATCTTTGTATGTATTGTTTAAAATATTATTATTTTAATTAAATAGGAACACATTTTCTGGGATGAGGACTAATCACCTATAAGAAGGGTTTCCTAGGTCCCTGGTTGAAATCATGTTTGAGAAGACACACTCTAACCCATAGCTCACCAACTCTGCCTAGTAAGGAGTTATGTTATTATAGGTTCTGCCCCAGCCCCTGTGCAGCTGCTAGTCTAGCTGCACAGAGTGAAAACCTCTCCCAGAGCATAAAGATCTTCACCTAGACTGCCCTCTACCTACTCTGTCCTCTAGTGTGCACAGGACACGGTGAAGAAAGTGGAACCAGGGACAACCATAACTGTATTCACAACTGGTTGTACCTAGGCAGATCCCCCCATGGGCCATCTTCTGCAGCAATTACAGATGCTGACTTACTGGTGTTTCTGTTAATAAATATGAAGCACATTTTTCATGACAGAAAAACAGATGAAAAAATTACCTATAGTTCTACCACTCAGAATAATCAGTTAACAAATGCATAATTTTTCTGCATAGTTTTTACCCATCCCATATTTTAAACTATAGATCTTGGTCATCTTTCCTATCAGTACATGTCAAAACTATCATTCTTTTTAACTGCAGCCATTAGTTTTTGTATTGAAACACTGGTCTAAGTCTTACAGCTACGAAAGTACCAAGTATAGCTACACCACACCTCCTTCAAAGGCTCAGAGACTCCATTAAATCAACAAGGTTTCGCCTGGCCGGGCATGGCTCAGCGGTTGAGCATCAACCTATGATCCAGGAGACTGCGGTTCGATTCCTGATCAGGGCACATGCCCAGGTTGCGGACTCGATCCCCAGTCAGGGGCGTGACCCTCTCATCACTGATATTTCTATTTCTCTCTCTCCCTTTCCTTTCCCCTTTCTGAAATCAATAAATATATATTAAAATAAAATTTAAAAATCAACAAGGTTTCTTTACATTAGAAATAGGCAGAAAGCTGTTGGATGATGACCAAAAGAGCACTGCTGTCCTCATGGGAGTCTGGCTGCCTCGTACCGCAGATTTCTCTGCCTGAGGATGCCCCTCTCTCCTCCGAGACTAAGAACTGGAAGGAACATCTCTTCTCCCCCTCCCCCATGCTTAGCATCATGCCCTGCTGGCAGTGGATGCTCTGCTGAACAAATGAATGGAAGAGGGAACAAATGAATGAACCAGAACAAACTCAAAGCTCACATTTAACTTTACCTGAGTTAATTTGCTTTGCCGGAAGGGAGTATGAGTGTGTTCTTGATCCAATGCTCGGATACATTCCTTTAGCTGCAAACACACCAAATACCATATGCAATGAGAGAATAACAGATCAGATTTTTCTTACATTCAAAAGAAAGCCAATCCCCCAAAACAAAAGGTCAAATGCCCTGGTAGTTTACTGTTCAACAAGAAAAATCAAGCCAGACTGGGACACATGATACTAGCTGTGCCTAGGGAAAGTTTCTCCACCTTAAAAGCTGTGACTAGCCCTGACAGCGTGGAACAGACAAACCCACAGGTCTTCCCGAGTCTAAGCTTGTATTATATAGCAGCAGTTCTGGTTTGCAAGCTGCCTCTCTTTCTTCTCATACTCTTCCCAACTACAGAAACATTTATAGTAGAGAAAATATTTATACCACTCCCCCCACTTCCCCGGTCACAGGTGCACACCTGTAACTGTAGATTCAAGTGTAGATTAAGATATAAGTTGTCTGAATGGGGCAAGAGAAATTCTAGAGCCAGAGCTGGGAAGGAACTGAGAATCACCTAGGTCTACCTCCTCATTTTAAAAAAGCAGGGATTGTGGCCCAAAGATAAGAGCATGTCACTTGCTCCTGGGCATAGCCTGTCAGACAAGTGCTCACAGGACATCACTAGTGCCAGCAGAGACCTGGATATGCAGATCTCCAAGGGGCAACAGGTAGAGCAGGGGTGGAGGGACAAGATGAGAGAGGAGAAATCTATTACTGAGTCATGCATCTAGGCTAAAAGGCAGTAAATGAAAAGGAAGGTAGGAAAGAGAATGGAAGGAAGCCCTTGGATGTGCCAGTGCTGGGAGTTCACCAAGACAGGTAAGTAGCTTTGAGAGTTTGCCGTGGCTGTTCTTGGCTGCAACCATACATGCCTACAGCTAAACCTTATCTATCTAAGAAGCTGCAGGTATAAAAAGGTATACGGGAATTTCAATTTCCTCTTTTATTGCAAACCAATCCAATATCCCCAAACTTTAGCACAGGGAAGATTCTCCAGAATGGATGAACAGGTAACCAAACCATGCCCCTGAGTTCCATCTACCCCTTATATACTCAAGTCTAAGTGCGGCCGCCAATCCCTATGAGGCCTTGGGAAATGGAAATAGACTTTACTAACCACTAAGAATATCCAAGGAAAATACACAGGAGAGAAACAAGGGGCACCTTTGTGCACCTCACAGAGTACAAGATTTTGATCCTATTCTAGATGGCTTGTTTCCAGGCCCCTTTACATGCTATTGCTCATGTGTGATAGGCATAGTCAAGCCCTAAAGGGTTGTATGACTTCATAGGTACTCCTTGCCAGGTTTCATAGTTGATTCCTGGATCATAGTTTTGTTGTTATTTTTTGTGTNNAGTTTTGTTGTTATTTTTTGTGTGTGTTTTTTTTAATATATTTATTGATTTTAGAGAGAGGAAGGGAGAGGGGGAGAGAGAGAGAAACAGCAGTGATGAGAGAGAGTCATTGATCGGCTGCCTCCTGCATGCCCCTGACTGGGGATTGAGCCCACAACCCAGGCATATGCCCTGGCCAGGAATTGAACCGGATCCTAGGTCGATGCTCAACCACTGAGCCACACTGACAGGGCCTGGACCATAGTTTTAAATATGAGAATCACAGATTTCTAGCTAGAGGCTATGGACCCTTGGCCAATCTACTTAACCCATCTGAGCCTCAGAATCCTGAACTATAAAGTGGGGATAAAAGAGCTTGCTTAACTTACTTCGCAGAGGTGTGAAGACTAAACTGAGTAGCATATAGTAAGTGCTCAAAATATATTGGTTCTAGGGTTCCTTGGAGAAATGGCTGACTTCAGCATTAGGGCTGGGAAAGTATATACAAGATGAGAGTATGACATCTTGTAGTGCCAAAAGGCAAGAAGATGCTCAAACAATGATGGGGTATGTCAAAAGGATATAAGGGCCAATTAGAAAGAGCTCCCAATAGCCAAATCTGGGACAATTTGAAGCAAACAAAATAAATAATGATGGAAATGAATTATAACCTAACAATAAAATAAATATCAATTTACTGTTATAAATAAATAATCTAGTAAATAAATAAATCGAAGAGAAAGAACTGCTCTTTCTTACAGCAATTCCAACTGGAATTCGCAATTCCAATGGAAATAGAGAATCCCATCAGGTAAACACTACAGTAAATGTTGCAGGTAAGAATCATCAATGGATGCTAAAATAAGGCAGCAAAAGTGTGATGTAGCCCTGGCTTAGTGGTTAGAGCATCAGCCCGCACACCGAAGGGTTGCAGGTTTGATTTCTGGTCAAGGGCATGTGCTTAAGTGGCAGGATCGATCCCTGCTCAATCTGGGAGTGTGTGGGAGGCAACCAACTGAAGTGTCTTGCTCACATCGATGTTTCTCCCTTTCTCCCTCTCTCCTTCCCTCTCTTCTACTCTCTCTAAAAAATCAACGGAAAAAATATCCTTGGGTGAGGATTAACAAAAAAAGAAGGAAAAAAAAAGAAACGAAAAAGTGCAGAACAGTGTTTACAGTATGCTACCTTTTTTTCCTAAGAAAAAGGGATGAAT